CATTACAGCTTGTGAATTATTGTGAAGTAGTGATTTTCTATATTCTTGCTGTTTCTCATAGATGAAATCATGCATAAGCAAATGAGAAATTAGCATTATGTTCAAATTATTCCCTAATATATCAATCGAGTTAGAACAAATTTCTATTGTCAAAATGAGTTACAACAACACTGGCTGTATTAGAAAGAAATCCCTTAGGTCACTTGGTGATTATCCTGAACTATAGTAGGGGGCAGCCCCTTAGTACAGGACTCTAAATGAGGAAAAATGTGGTACTACCCTACTCTGCCTCTCCTAGGATGGAGGAAGGCTGCATCTTAGCTACCTTAATACAGATGACAGACTCATCATGAGACTTGATTAAATGACTGAAATGTCACCAGTCATGCTGTAAGACCTGATGGATGTCTGGTGCTGTTCTGGCTCATTATCACTGTTTACATCCAGATACCCACTTTTGAACTGAAAAAATTTGGCATCACTCAGCCCATGGATCAGATCATTGAGATCTGGGACTCGGTCCTTCCAAAGTGAGGAGGTAAAGCCTAGGATTTCTAGTCTTCATTCTGTGGAAAATGATTTATTATATTCTTTGGAAAACATTATTATACTGTTCAATGTTTTGGGTACACCCAAGCTTGTGTTTTGTGTTCCCTTCAGGTTTTGGCTTTGCCCAAATTTTACTGAATGTTTATATTTACAGATAGCCATCTCAATCTACCTTGTTTTCAAGTTGACCTCTCTGGTTGTTGTTACACAGGTACTCTTGTCTAAATCCTACATAATGTAAACCCTTCAGAGGCTGGATAAGAGGGAGCCACACCTTCTTTCCAGCTTGCTGAGCTCTACCAAATGATCTAATAAATTTCTTTCTAAAACTATTTCAGATTTGGGGGTTTGTTCTCATGAATGACAATTCTCTTCACATTAGGGTACTCTGTTAAGGAAACAGGGGAGGGCTTAAATTTCTTGTTTTTGTTAGTCTTTTTTCTTTTCTTCTTTTTCTTTCAGTATGGCTTAAGCCAAGTAGCTTGCATATCCTTGATATCAGGGTTATCCAGTAACAGCCCTAAAGCCATTTAAATAGTGAAAGGTACCCTAGAAGACCTTGCCAACTAAGGGGTGGGGTGTGATGGGATTCATATCTACAAGGGCTCCTCCCCCACCCTCACCCTCACTCTTATTCCCCTGTTAACGTAAGTAAGGCTAGTTCTTTCCTTAAAAGGCAAAGAAGCTATCTTCAAGATTTGATTGGATCAGAGGACTAAGGCTCAAGCCACATAGCTATTGGTGTTGTTTCTTAGTGGCCTCTTGGCCACATAGGGCAAAAAAAAAAGTGTCTAAATGGTGTTGGGGCCTTTCAGACTTAGTTTATCCCAACACTGCTTGTCACATCCTACCTTGCTGACTAGTTTCTATATGGAAGCTTAGGAGGGCTATATCTGTTAAAGCTGAGAGTATATCCTCATTGAATAGACTTTTTATGCTATGGCTAAGTAAAGCTCCCTTTGTTAACTATTGGATGACCAATGTTTAATTTCATTCCATTATCAGACATAAACCACTGGGAGATTAGTCTGAGTCAAGAACCACCTACAACATGTGTTCTCCCTTCCGGTCACAATGGAATGTAACTCCCTTCCTTCACTGTTTTCAGAGGAAACAGAGCACCAAAAAGTGGCCTTGTTTAAGGAGTGACAACTGAACTGAACCTTTAAGGTAGCCAAGGATTCCAGGAGGCAAAGGTGAATAGGTAGAATGTTCCAGGTGCAAGGGTCTATGTGAATAAAGAGACTGGAAGAACTGTTAAGTAGGCTACTTTCGTTGAAATACAGTGTGTAAAGAGTACTATTAAATAAATCTGGAAAGGTTGATCCCAGATTTTGAAGGACTTTAAAAGTCAAAATGGCAGAGCTTGCATTTTATCTTATACGTATTACAGATCCACTAAAGCTTTTATAGGAGAGGAATAACAGTGCCAAACATGGAGGCAGCTGCTCTACCCCTTCTACAGGACTAGAAGAGGCATGAGTCAAACATGGTGGTGAAGAAGAAACTGGAAAATAGCTGTAAAAAAAGTGAGGCCTCTTCCATATCTGGAGCAACAGCAAGGTGAAGCATTTAGCAAGTATGCAAGCTTAAAGGCTTCAACTATTCTTTTTTCAAAAGTCTTAGAAAACCTATATATATGTTGTCATGGCATTTTTCTAGTCCAGCCTGCTTAACTGTCCAGAAAGACTGATCTTTAGGTTCCATTGTCCTTTCTAAGAATTTGAATTTTATCTGTTTACATGTGCTTACTCTCTTAATAGAGTCAGTCAACAAACATTTATTAAGCACTTACTATGGGCTAGGCACTGGGAATACAAACATAAGCAAAAAGAAAGACAGTCCCTGTCTTCAAAGAGCTTACATTTTAATGAGTCAGACAACTCATAAAAGGAAGCTGAAAATTGGGAGGGGAAGAATGTATGCTAGTCATGATGGAGAAATCCAGATGAGTACAGCAGCCTAATGAGAAATGAAGATATGGCTAACTTGGTTGCCCTCCTTAAATGGAGACTCTGGGAGAAGACTTCACAATCAGAGGGAACATCACCAGTGGCCGGGAGTACTTTCCAGGTGTGAGTTTGTGAATCCAGGGCTGCTGTGATTTTGGGGGATGAAGAGCTTTTTGGGCCACACCAGAGAAGTCCAGAGGAGTTAAAGACTCTGAGTGCAAGGACAGCATTCTATTCACCTTTGTGTTTTCTCTAACACTTTAGCACAGTGGCTTGTACATATTTAACATTTCCAGAAAGGATAATTATTAATTAAACCTCTGGAGTACCAGAAAGCCAATTATTTGATAAGGGAGACTCTCCTAAGGGGATCTAAGCAGTTTTTAAAAAGAGATGATGAAAGAGAAAATTCCTGAGAACAGTAGGGGTTGTAAGAGAAAATCAGCCAAAAAAAACAAAAACAAAAGCAAAAAACCATGATTATGAAAGATAATGTGGTCTAAAGCAACAGATTATGATCCTACCTAAGCCTTCATTTAGGCTGGGGACAAACTAATAGGCTATAATGACTTTGATGATGGTAAGGTCTTCTGAATGACTGGGATTATCATCAGTGTTTCCTAAAGCTTCTAAAAGATTTTGGTACATCTGTAGTCACTGAAACACATTTGGGAATGATTCAAAATTTGGTGAATTATTTAAAATCTATCCTATTGACTTCCTGAGTTATGATTTTCAGAACACATCTAATTTACATATAATACTGCTTGAATGGGCTAAGAGAATCTACAAATCCTAACATTTAGCCTTCCCTCTTGCCCCAAACAGGCAAACCATACATCCAAAAAAATGAATTATTTCTCCTGCCTTTAAATGAGGTTTGCATTTTAGATACATCCCTATATCTCAGAGGGCTTTACAAACAATTAAAAAGTTATACAAGTAGAAACCATTATCCTGATTTTATAATTATAAAATGTATAACCAGTGTAACAGTTATGAAGTTAGTTTACTTAAAGCCAGTAGTGATCCAGGTTTAAAGCAGATAGGATCTCAGAACAACAACTTTAGATTTTATACCTTTTTTTTTTTCTCCTTTGGGGTGGGGTGGGGGTGTGTGAATGTGATAAGAAGGGGCTAAAAAAGGAAACTGGAAAAGTTGACCTACCCAGCAACAAGAACACCATAATATGCTTATAAAAAATTAGAATCAAAAAGCATTCTTCTGAAGTTTTAGGAGAAATATATTAGGAAAATGTTTAATTTTATTTTGAACAGCAGCTAGGTGGCATAGTGGATAGAGAGCAGCCCTGAAGGGGGACCTGAGTTCAAATTCAGCCTCAGACACTTACTAGCTGTGTGACCCTGGGCAAGTCACTTAACCCTGACTGCCTCCAAAAAAAAAACAAAAAAAAACCAAAACATCAAAAACAAAGGCTCATCCCCATTAGAGTACTGTAATCATTGAAGCAGCAACCACCATTAAAACCCCTTAGGCAAAACACAAAGCATTTTTCAACATACTGTGACATAAACTGTACTAGAATCCACATATTATTAATATAGCTAGTTATCAAAAATGAACAATTTTTATAATTTTATTTGTTACCACTGATGAGGGAAGAAACGTTCAATATACAATTTATCCATTATTTGCATTTATTGAAAATAATGACAGAATAGTTTTGATTGTTAAAGAGAAAACAATTAAAATACAGCTTAAAATTTTATCTTAGAGCTTTTGTATTATCTGTGTGGATTTTTGATATCATAAAAGCAGTAAGGAAGACCATTTTGTGTTCCCTTAACACAAAGAAAACTTACAACTGATATCTCCCTATGATACAAAAAAATATACATTTAAAATATCCTAAAACATATAAAGGTCGTAATTTAAATATTTGAATAATCACAATAATCTCCTACCCCAAATAGATCAGAAGTCAACACATAATATATGTAAAGATCAAATACATTAAATAAATTGATTTAAAACTTCCCACCTTAGAAAGCAAGCATAAACAATATGGACTGTGTAAGAACATTTTCTCTATTAGAGATGCTTTTAGTGTGTAACAAAAAATTTCAGAGCACAGTATATTAAAATAAAAAATTCATAGTAATAGCAAAAAATATATATAGTTTCCTTAAGACATTATCTATCATTTAGCATAACAGGATTAAGGAGAACTGTGAAAAAGTGGGGCTGAACTACATATATTCAATAATCATTGATAAGTTTCATTTATGTATAACTGTTCCTCAAAGTTTCATTAAATCATTTCTATAAGGAATCTTAGGAACTAAAGAGTGCTTAAAGAACTTTCAATTTTAGAAGGAAAAATACTTAATTGTGAAAGTTGAAAAAGTGGAAAATGACTATTAAAAATACTGGTATTAATGAAAATCTCAATCAAATACTACTAAACAATACAGTTCAGATTCTGCTTAGATACATTTAGTGTTTCTCTGACAGAATTGCTCTTGGTACTTATTGGAGTGGGGTGTGTGTGTGTGTGTGTGTGTGTGTGTGTGTGTGTGTGTGTGTGTGTGATGTATGTGTTAAACCATTCCTCTTACATTCATACTTTTTGTCTGTACCTCTATGGAATGATTCACGTAAACAACTGCAAGCTCTTGGTCAAAGGATATCCCACAAAGACTTTGAATTCTTTTGAGGTGTCCGTATACCACAGACTGACACACAGATGATGCATCTTCTTGAAACATATTAAGTTCACTGATGATGTCTAAGTCAGGATGGACTGTGCAGCTTCTTTGATTGTAGATGCAGCTTTCTCGAGTTCTTCATCAGTTTGTTCTACTGTCACCACAATTCTAATACTGTGAGAAAAGGGATTTTAGGGGATGTTTTATTACTGTTTTTCAAAAGAAAGTGCTACCACAACACAATCTAAGCAATGGCTGACTCACTATCTATTTCTCTTGCTAAAGCTTCTAACACAATTAGTTCCTCTCAAGTAGGTTGAGAACTGAATCACCTGCTGTACTTCCAGAGCCTGATTTCCTACTTTTACATGGAAATTCTCTGTTTAGTCAGGTATCTTTATGAGTCTATTCAATGTGACATAACATACGCTAAGACAGAAATTCCCAACTTGTGCTGAAAAGTAGACAGGAAAAAATTTTCTTGAGAGCATCATTAAAGTGGTACCCCATTTGCCTTATGCTTAACTTATAAATCTGCTCAATTCAAAAACTGTCAATAAAATAATTTGCTTAATCCCTGCTCCTCTGTATTCTTTTTACTGTTATTTTACCACACATATACCTATTCAGTTTACTTCCAGGGTGTTCAGCACTCAATACAAAGTTAACTTCTATTAGGTGAACATTCTTATAAAGTTTGTGAATCCGAAGACCTTGTGCTTTGGTCTTACAAATTAAAATACCGGCTTGAGATTTAAAAAAAAAAGTATTGTACTTCAACATTAGCAAAAAAAGTTCTTCTTTCATGAAGCAATCTTTTAGAAACATTTCAAAACATATTACATGGTCTTTGTCCACATGAAGGCCATAAAATAAGTTGAGGGAAAAGTGGAGGGAAATTTTAATTTCTACCAACCTAGGAGGAGGAAGGCTTTTCTCTTCTTTTTCCAAGTAGTGTGCCTGAGTTAAGGCAATATTTCTGTTCATGCACTAAAGAAAGAAAGAACAGATTTACAACTTTAACTTCACACACTATGTTATTTAAAACAGTAAGAGGCAGTGAAACTTAACACTTTGATAGCAGTCTTAATTTATTTTCCCAAATTACAGATGCTGGAAAAAAACACAAAAACTTAACACCACTGAATAGGCTGTGGGGAAACAAAATAGGCAAAGTCTAGTGTTGGAAAAGCAAGGAGAAAAATATGGCTCAAGAATAACATTTGATCAATTTTAGATGATGTCCCAACTTTAACTGTAACCCTAAGTAGTGGCCACCACTAATATTATCCTGTAGCTGAATAACTATAAAAGGCCATGGCCTCAACAGCCAGGGCAACTGGACCTTATGACTTGCTTAGAGTGCAAATCTGAGATGAATATGAAATATTTCCTCAGCTGTCCCCACAAACAGCTATCCCCCTATAATCTCCAGAAACAGGTAAGACTGGCTTTTAAAGTACTTTATAATCTGGTCCCCTCTAGCCTTTCACATCTTCTTTTATGTTATTCTACTTTATGTAATCCACAATCTAGTGACACTGGTTACCTTGCTGTTCCTCACCCAGGTACACAAGACACTCCATCTCCTGACTCAATGAATTATCACTGGCTGTCTCCTGGCTTCCCACTTCTGCAAGAAGCCTTTTCCATTCCTCTTAATTCTAGGGCCTTTCGTCTGAGATTGTCTCCAATTTATATACACCTTGCTTGTGTGTAGTTGTTTGTGTTCTCCCCCATTAGACTGTAACTCCTAAAGAGCAAAAGACTTTCTTTATATCCCCAGCTTTCAGTATTTTTGTTGTTTTTGTTCATTTGTTTCAGTTGTGTCTGACCCTTTGTGACCCCATTTGGCGTTTTCTTGGCAGACACTGGAATGGTTTCCCATTTCTTTCTTCCTTTTTCAGTTCATTTTACAGATGAATAAACTGAGTCAAAAAGGGGTTAAGTGACTTGCCCAGGGTCACGCAGCTAGTAAGTGTCTGTGGTCAGATCTGAACTCAGGTCTTCCTGACTCCAGGCCTGGCACTCTATCTACTGTACTACCTAGCTACCCACATTAGTAGGTGCTTAATAAATTATTGGTGATGATTTGAATCAACAAAGGGTCGTTAATTTTGGGGTGAGAGTAAAATAAGCATAATGGGTTATTTCAGACATTTTACATTTTCTGTATTTGTTACTGAGTGCTAGAGAGTATTTTGAGTTTTAAGCATTTTCTGTGGTAGAGGAAATAAAAAAAAAGCTGTTCTATACCTGATAGTCATACTGCACACTGAGTAATTTTTCTAGAAGGGAACCTGTCATATTTTAGGAAGATTCTAAACATGAGCCATACTTAAATTTTGTTTCACAGATCTCACTGCAGTTCAAAGAGGGGTAGAATAAAAGTGACAGAAATCTGATCCATGCCTTTACCCTACCCTTTGTGGACAGGTTTCCTCAGAATGAATCTAGATCTGGGAGAAATTTGAGCTGGTATCCCTTGTGGGAAGGTTTCCTTCTCATCCCTTCAAAGGATATCCATAACATAGTATATAACATCCAGGGGCACACACCCCTCCTACCGTTCTTCCTTCCACCCTACCCCTAACTTGCAGGATGATTGTGCAGGCAGTTCTTGCTTTGTATAAGCGGATTGTTCTATAGACATCTATGTAAAATGATTTTTACCTAATGCAAATTTGCCTGCCAATGTGGAAAAGGGAATGATGGAGGCAGGAAGGGGGACACATGCCCATGGAGAGAGGGGGTTGGCACACGGTTCAAAGACATGTGGGGGCTGAGGACAGAGAAGTAAGAGCAGGAGGAGGAACATGGGGCTGGAGCCAGCTACATGGAGGTCAGAACTAAGAGGAAGAAGATACAGATATATAGGGGCTGGGCATGGACACAGACAAAGAACTGCTAATATGTAGGGTCCAGGGACAGATGATATACCCAAGTGTAGACAGCGGAAAAAATGGAAGACAGATACTCATTGACACATGATGGGCAAGAGAGTAGAGCAAGAGAAAGGTCTTTTGTGTTGCCACCAGAGGTCTCAAGCCAAGCCCTTGATCTGCCACTGCAGTGGCAGTGATGCTTTCTCTGTGCATCTGTTCTTCTGTTTTCCCTTGGAGGATTTCTTTTTTGGAGGGGGCGGGGCAGGTTAAGGGGAGGGAACAAGAGCCACTGAATGCTAAGCTGAGGGGCAGGATCAGAGAGAGAGAGAGAGGGAGAATGCATAAAACTGTACAGTAAAGTTAACAAAGGTGTTTTTCAGGAATGTGGGTTTCTTTCAGAATTCTTTATGTAAAGTTGAATGAGAATTTACATAAAGTAAGAACTGTCAGTAATCTCCAATGATCATTATCTCAATTCTGAGGTACTTGGTGGGTCTATACCCCTAAAACTACTGCAAATGAGCCCCCACTGATAATAATCAAAGCGTATAATTAGCTCAAAGCAAAGGCATTTAATTAAAATGGTACCTTAAGAAACAGTAATGAAATACCTTCCTCATAAACCTGAGGCACACTCTCCCACAACTACATATGTTTCTTCATCAGTAAAAATGGAAAAAAAAATGGATGTATATATATGTGTATATATATGTATATGTATTGCCTACTTCATAAAGTTGTTGTAGGAAAATGCTTTATAAACACTACAAAAGTACTATATAAATGTATTCAATGTGATTGTTATCATAGTCCTAGTTATAAGTTAAAGTGAATGCTATGTCAGTGCCTAGCACGGTTATAATGACAATAAAATTCTTTAAAAAAAGACAAGAGTAAAGGCAAAAGGAGTGCAGGGACAGATATTGAGAACCCAGGGGAAAAAAATCTGAAAGTCAGAGATTAAATTTAGACCTTTGACTTAAAAACTCGGAAGAACTAAGGGTGCTATTCACAGCACCTCAGCTTAAAATGAAAAGCAACCTCCAAAGTACATAAAAAGAGAGGCATGGCTAGTGATTTCTAAGTTAAATATGAGCGGCATTAAGGCAGCAAAAAAGCTAATGCCACCATGGGCTACAAGATGAAAAGCACATCTTTGAGCAATGAGGTTACTATGACTTGTCAGATTCCATATCACTATATTGTGACCATTCTGGGTATCACAGCATAGGAAAGGAATTGATAAACTGGACTGTGTATAGAGGAGAACAACCAGAATGATGAAGGACCTAGGGTTCATATTAGGAACAGCTAAAAGATATAGGGATACTTAGCCAAGAGAAGTCTTAGGGAGAACATGAAAGCTGTCAAGTATTTGTAGGGCTGTCACATGTTACAAGAATAAGACCAAAATAAGGCATGGTTCTAGAGAAAATAACTAGGGGCAATGAGTACAAGTAGTAAAGAGGCAAACTTGGGTAAAAAAAAAAAAAACCCCAAGACAACTACCTAACAAGTAGAGATGCTCTAAAGTGGAAGAAAGGGCTGCCTTCTAGAAGAGTAGTTTCTTCCTCACTAGAGGTTTTTAAGCCATGGCTGGATGAATACATGCTGACAGCCCACATTCATATTTCAAAATGGATTTGACCAGGTGACCTCTAAGCTTTCTCTTCCAACTCTGAGACTCTGTGAAGTTAACTTGTCTTAGAAGTACCCATTGTGGGGCAGCTAGGTGGCACAGTGGATAGAACTCTGGCCTTGGAGGCAGGAGGACATGAGTTTAAATTTGGCCTCAGACACTTTATACTTACTAGCTGTGTGACCCTGGGCAAGTCATTTAACCCTGACTGCCTCACCAAAAAAAAAGAAAAAAAGGTACCCATTGTACTTATATTTTTCACAAGCAAACATATTCTTTTATCAATTAAATTATAATTACTGAAAAAATTATTTCCAGATGGTGAATCTAAAGGAAATAGAAAAAAATGATTCCTTTTGCATATACTATGCATGCAGAATAAAAATATTTTTTATTTTTCCCTCCTCTAATTACAGAATTGTAATTATGAACATTGTAATTACAACTTACAATGTGCTGAAACATGAAACAAAATGGTGACTAAATACTATCAGGGACTCAGCAATCTAATTATGTAAGCTTATAGCTTTATATTATGTTAAATGTAATACAGTATATGGCAACATTTATAGAAACTGATTTTATGAATAAAAGCTAAATAAATTTCTGAATTACTTAGAAAACTACTTGAAAATTCTCCTATAGGGGAATCAAAATTTTCTCAAAAGACAAAATATCATCACATCATTAACAATTTTAGTTGGCTGCTAACTTACTTAAAATTACCACATGCATAAATGCGGTAAAGTTGGAAAAATGAAACGTATTTCCCCCTGCCATTAGGCACAGAAAATTCTGATTTTTAAAAATTAGCTGAGTCATTCAAAAGCTTCATAAAAGGGTCCCTTTTTTCGTAGAGAATAACTATAGAAACTTACTTGATCTACTATTCTCTGAAGTAACTTGATATCATTCTCTCGTGACCCTGTGCCCTCTTCCAGTTGGAGGTGGAATGCTGGTGAAAATGACTCGCCTACTACTCTTAATCCATAAGTGCTAAAAAAGAGAAAAACATATAAGTATATGTAAATATACGTATGAACGCAATACAGATATACACACATATATATTTTAAAACCAACATATGAATATGGAGACTGCAATGAAAAAATTTTAAATATACAAAAAGTTCCTAACCTCACAAAAACAAAAACTAAATTTTAACAGAAGCACGCCATTTGTATATTTTGGTAACTAAGTAGTAAACCAAGAAAAGCATATTATATTCACAAGTCCAAGCAAAGCCTCAAAGAAAACAATATCTTGGATAAAATGGTTAAGGAGAATTCATCTAAGAATCAATGGAGTATCTGAAAATCATAGTCCCCTTAAAAAAAGCCATATTTTAAGAAAATACAAATAAAAACTATCCTGGACTATTACAAGGGGACAAAATGGAAACAGAAAGAATCTACCAATGACCTGCTGAAAGAACCCCCAAATGAAAATGCCCAGGAAGGAATAACCAAAGTCCAGAGTTTCCAAGTTAAAGAAAAAAATATTTTAAGTATTCCAAATTTCATACTTGAAGTACTAGGGAGTTACCATCAGATCACATAAAACTTAGCAGTTGCCATTAAAAAGGAAAAGAGACTGGAATTTGTATTCTAACGGCAAAAGATGAAGAATAACCTATCCAGTAAAACTGAGTATAATCTTGCAGTGGGAAAAATAAACCTTTAATGAAATAAAGGACTTCTAAATATTTCTTTTCCTTATAGAAATTTTTTACTGATATTTTCTGTTTCTTACATTGCCACAGTATAAAGAGCTATCCCATATAAGATATATTATATCCCATATAATTTTTTAGAGAGAAAAAAAAGTCAGCACAATCAAGACACATTAAGTGGTAGGTTGGGGGTTTCTTCTTATCTCTCTTTTATACAAGCCCCACTTGATTTTTATAATGATGTTACTTTTTACTTTTGATTTTTGGTACGTCATTCTTTCCATTTACATGTTATAGTTACTGTGTATATTGTTTTTTCTTGGCTCTGCTTACTTCACTCTGCATCAGTTCATTTACATCTTTCCATGTTTGTATTTATTCAGCACAGTAATATTCCATTACATTCATGTACTGGGATTTTTTTTAGCCATTCCCCAACTGATGGGCATCAACTTTGTTGCCAATTCTTAGCTATCACTAAAAGTGCTGCTATAAATATTTTGCAGTATCTGGAGACTTTTTTCTTATTAATGGCTTCTACAGGGTATAAGCTCAGCAATGGAATTTCTGGTATAGACATTTTAGTAATTTTATTTGCATAATTCCAAATTGCTTTCCAAAATGGTTATACCAAGCCCCATCAACAAGATATTAGTGTGCCCATCTTTCCACAACCCATCCAACAGTCCCTGTGGTGATCTTTTGTCATTTTTGCCAATTTGCAGGGTGTGAGATGAAATCTGAGGGTTGTTTTGATTTGCATTTCTCTTATTATTAGTGACATGGAGCATTCTTTCATGTAGTTGTGAATATGCTGCAGCTGTTTTGAGAACTGTTTGTTTATATACTTTAACCATTTAACTACTGGGGAATGGCTATTAATTTTATACACATTTATTACTGTTTATTATCTTGGATATCAAACTCTTTTCAGAGAAATTTGATACAAAGATTTTCCCCCATTTGACCATTTTCCTTCTTATCCTAGATATGTTAATGTTGTTTCTACAGAAGCTTTTCAGTTTCAAGTGATCAAAGTTATCCTTTTAGCTTCTGTAATTGCCTGAATTATTTGTTTAGTTAAAAATATATCTCTCCATAGCCATGAGAGGTATATGATCTTTTTCTTAATTTTTTATAGCATGATCTTTAATACGAAAGTCACATGTGCATTTAGAATGTATTGTGAGGTGTGGTGGAAGATACTGACCCAAGCCTAATTTCTGCCAGACTGCTTTCCCTAGGTGATTTCCACTTTATCAAACACTAGCTTATTTTCTTTTTTTTGCTAGGCAATGGGGTTAAGTGATCTGCCCAGGGTCACATAGCTAGTAACCACCTAGCTGCCCCTCAAACACTAGCTTATTGAGTTCTGAATCTCCCTAGGTCTAGTTTGTTCCACTGATCTCTCTTTTCTTTACCCAATACCAAGTGTTTTGATGACTGCTGCTTTATAATATAGTTTGAGATCTGGAAGTGTTATTTCCCTTCATCCTTATTTCTTTTCATCATTTCCCTTGATATTCTAGATTTTTTGTTTTTCCAATTGATTGTTATTGTATTGAAAACATAAATTAATTTTGATAGTATTGTCATTTTTATTGCATTGGCATAGTTAGCCATGAACACTGAATATTCCTCCAGCTATTTAGGTTGTGCTTTATTTCTTTCTTTCTTTTTCTGGCTAGGCAATGGGGGTAAGTGACTTGCCCAAGGTCACATAGCTAGTAAGTGTCAAATTTCTGAGGTCATATTTGAACTCAGGTCCTCCTGACTCCAGGGCCAGTGCTCTATCTACTCCGCCACCTAGCTGCTCTTGTGTTTCATTTCTTTAAGGAGCACTTTGTAATTGCATCTATACAAGTCTTTTGTGTGCTCTGGGAGACTGATTCCCAGATATTTTATGTATTTGGTGGTTATTTTGAAAGGGACTTCCCTTTCTTGTGTTTTGTTACTATGATATGATATAAAAATGCTACTGATTTTGAGTATTTGTTTTGTAACCTACAACTTTGAAGTTATTTTCCTGAAGTCCAAAAAAATAATCACATCATTAGCAAACAGGTACAGTTTTATCTCCTCTTTACCTATCTTTATTCCATTAATTTCTTTTTCTTGTTTTATAGATATTCTTAGCATTTCCAGAGCTACAGTGAAGAACAGTGGGGACAGTCTTGCTTGATTCCCATATTTATTAGGAAAGGTTCTAGTGTATTTCTATTACATATGTTGCTTGGTTTTGGTTTTAGATATGTTATTTATTATCTTTAAAAAAAAGGTCTTATATGTAGGGTTTTTAGCATAAAAGAGTATTGTACTTTGTTAAAGACTTTTTCTGCATCTACTGAGATGATCATGTGGTTTTGAATGTTTTGGTTTATGCTGATTATTTTCTTGATATTGAACCATCCTTGCATTCCTGGTATAGCTTCCACTTGATTATAGTAGATAAAATGCTATCATCTGTTTGACAGGATTTTCTTTAAATTTTTTGAGTCAATATTTCTTAATGGTATTGGTCCACAGTTTTCCTTGTGTTTTATTTTTCCTTGACTTAGGTAGTAGAACTATATTTGTCTCATAAAAGGATTTGGTAGGGTGTTTCTTTTCTCAACTTTTGAGAATAATTTGTAAAGTACAGATACTAATTGTTTTTAAAAGTTTAATAGAATTCTCTTGTGAATCCATCAAGTCCAGGAGTTTTTTCCTTTGGTAGTTCCTTTACAGATAGAAGTATTTCCTTTTCTGAGATTGAGTTCTTTAAGATTTCTTTCTGATCTTCTGATAGTATGGGGTGGTTTATATTTTTGAAGTTATTTCTCTATTTCTTTTGTGTTATCAGTTTTGTTAGCATATAATTGTGCGCAAAACATCCTGATTATTTTTACTTCTGGTTCCAGTGTGATTTTACCCTGCACATTCGCTATTTTGTTGATTTGATTTTTTTTTGCTCTCTTCTTTTTAGTCATATTAAACTAAGAGTTTATAAACTTTATTAGTGTTTTTAGTTTTATCATTTGTATAGTTTGTTTTTTTTAATATTTAATATCTCCTCTTTGTGTTTATTTTTGGCATATTTATTAATTTTTCTATTTTTTAAATATACATATTCAATTCATTAGCCCTCTTTTTCCATTTTTAAAAAAATGTATGATTGTAAGGGTAAAATTTTTCCTCCTGAGGACTGCTTTACCTTAACCTCAAAATTCTGGTACGATGTTTCATCATTAACATTTTTTTTTTTTTACCTAGTACTTGTTTCTATAATTTGTTCTTTGACCCACCTATTATTTAAGATTTTATTGTTAAGTCTCCATCAGGGTTTGTAACTTTTGTTTATGGTCTGTAAAAGATATATTATTTGTTGTTTTACATTTGTTTGAATTATCTCTGTGTCCTAATAATTGATCAATTTTTGTCAAAGTTCCATGTGGTGCTGAGAAACGTATATATTCTTTTGCTGTCCCATTTAGAATATGTCATGGAGTTTTAACTCTAGTTTTTCCAGCAATTTGTTTGGTTTCATATTTTCCCTTTGTATTTGCTTAGACTTATCCAAAACTGAAGAGGATATTGAAACCTGTTATCACTATTGTGCTACTCTCTGTCTTCTTGAAGCTCAGATGTTGGTTTTGTTTTCTGTTCTGAAGGACCAAGCTGGCTGTCAGATGCCTAAGCAAACTTTTGAAGCCTGGAGCACTCCCACTGTACAACACTGGAAAGAGGGAGGGGGAGAGGATTAGGATGTAGGTCGTCGGATAGTTGGGTCTGCTATAATACAGCCTTCTTGTCAGTAGTATGGGAGATGGATGATGGGTACTGAGTGAACATCAGTCCTTGGGTTTTTTTTTTTTTAATATTTTTGGATTCTGAGTGTCCTAGACCAGGGCTTCTTAAACTTTTTCCATTCATAACCCCTTTCATGCTTCTTAAACTGCGGGTTACAACCCCATATGGGACCTAGACCAGGACTGAGACCTAAATAGCGTAAGTTGCTTTATCTTTGTTGCACAATTTTTGTTTTGGAGAAGTAAGAGAGGCTATGGGGATTGGAGAAAATGTCTAGTCCACCATCTTTTTGCTCATATAACCCAGAGGGTCCCACTTCGAGGCAATTCTAATGAGTAAATCAAATCTGAAATTCTGAAATGCGAATTAAGGGTAAAGAGAAACAAAGAATGGCAAATACATTTGACTGACTGGAAGGGATTATATGATGATGACCTGTTTATATTCTAATGAGAGAGATGAAACAACTGTCCCCTCAGCACTTTTCAAAAAAGTTAAATAAGATAGGCAGAGTGGCTGGGGATGTTTTTGTTTT